ACTGGTATCAAAATGGTACCGATCTATAGTAAATTTAATATATGGGTTGTGACCTACTCATATGTTTTTATAGTAAACTTAAGTATTGAAGTGGTATCAAAGTGGTGTCGTTAGGAGCCCTAGTAATGATATATTTTGTTTGATTTGTTTTACTTCTTTTTTTTTGTTTTTTTGTTTTATTTTTATTTTACTTGTATTCTGTTTTTAATTAAGTAAAAAAAGAACTTGTTTTTTATTTTTTTTGTCTTCATAACATTAACAATAATAATAATATACAGTATACATATTCCTTTTAATAAATCACTTTATATATATATAATTTTTTAATTCCTTTTGCTTATTTTTCACTTTCTTCAAGAAAGATTTGCTTCATAAGAGGCTATGTAAGAGACTTCGTTAATTTTGAAGACCCGAGCATCCGGACTAATTCAGTCTGGATTGCCGGCCAGTTTTTAATGTACATATAGAGAGTTGTATAAGGAATCCCTAGGTGTTCACTAGCCCTGTTCCTATTAGGGAAGGTGGCACTTCCTATTTTTGATTCTAATTCAGATTCAGATTCAGATTCACTATTTTAGTTATCTATAAAACTCTTTATATCATTTTTATCAGAATTAGAATCTTTATATTACTTTCTTTTGATAAAATTTCTTCATCATTTTTAATTAAATTTTATATATCATTATTACTATCTATTTCATTAATAAATTTTTTTGCACATTCTATAGATTCTGTAATATCAACTAATTCAAGATAAGATAAAATAAGTTTATAATTGTTATAAATATAAACTAATTTTAATAATCTTTCATTTGTTTTTTTGTTTTTTTTTTTTAACCTGCAATCAGACTGGTGTCATATATTTATTAAATTATAGAGAACCATTACATGCATAAGAATACATGCACAGTACAAATTTTCTTGACCCAGCTCACTCATCTTAAGCCTAACCTCTAGATGCAATTTATGCGAGTGATACATTGCTAGCCTAATGGTTAGGGTTAAGATCCAGTTATACCATAAGGATTACAACCTGCAGTTTATCTCTATAGTTACGACCATAAATCCAAATTGTGTTGTCCCCCTTTTGCAGAAACTATGCAAGGGGTAATAGATAAAAAAGGAATAAGGGTAGAAAAAACAGCACAAATGTGCACAAATAAAGCAATGTAAAAAAAAAAGAAATAAAAGATAGCATCTATTCTATCTATTATTGAAATGGTATCTCAGTGGACAAAATCCAGACCCCTTATGAATACTCACTTGTTATCACCTGTGGTCAATTAGATTGTTTAATTTCCATCAAAGCAGGTGATATCCAAGAATGTTTAAGGGCATTTCCTGGAGAGTATTTCTTGAAACTTTTCCACTTGAAGACTTCTGACCAGAAAGGATGTTGGTTTTCTATTGTGGATTTCTCTCCCAAGCCATGTCTTTCTGGAATTATTGCTTCACTCAACCAGTGGATAATTTCCAGATCTCTTTCTCCAACCATTTTCGGGATAGATATTGTTGCTTCAACTTGTTGCCAGATTGGGATAGGATTAGAATCTTGTGGTTACTCCCAGTCCTCTAGGTAGAATAGAGAAATAAAAGGGGCAAATAAAAGGAAAAAATAAAAAGGGGATTGCTCCTTCTTCACTCACAACTTCCAACTTCTCACAGAACTCCCTTACTACTCCTTTGACTAAAAAACCATCCAACTCTTTCTGGAACCAATCACATCATCGATTTGGTGTTCACCAAGATATGCCAGTTTAGTCAAATATGCCTAATATCCTTGATCATGTCACTCAAGTTGTTCAGACTGTTCTGGTTGATCAGATTGATCAGGCTGACCCAGCATATCAGTTATATCTGGCAGAAATGCCATATCTACTCACTATGTTATATATATTAGATAACTAATAATAGAAATAATATAATAATATAATACTATAAAACAATAATCTAAAAATAGTACTACTAATAATCATAACAATATATATATACAGTATATATAATATAATTATTTTCAATGAATTTTGAATGTTCTTATTGATCCTTTTGCCAACCCAAAAAACAGACATTCTCAAAAGATTTTTTGTCTTTATGATAATAAAGTCTATACACATTCCTTAAAAACAATACTGGTTTTAACCAGCCGAGCAAGCAGAAGCTACCACTTGTTTTATTTTTCTTTTTCAAAACACTTTTCTTGTTTATTTTTGTGACTAAATACAA